GAAAGTAAAAGTTAAAATAATAATAATTCAGTAATAATGATTCGGATAGCAATTTACTGGTAGATTGGCAGCAAATTCGATTAGATTCTTATTGCAGATTCATAGGAATGTCTGCATTAAGCTTAAGATCTGTCGACAGAACCTACTGTGCCAGTGATATGTTATACCAGCGGAAATCAAGCAGAATGTGACCAAATTTCTTTTCGCCGCATAACGTGTCAGCAGATTTTATATTATATTTTTTTTTTTTTAAAGAAAAGTACCGTGAATTCATAAAAAATTATACCTTCAGTCAGAAATCATCTATACATATTTATTAATCTCTTGCATGCACGTATCTCGATATTAATATATCACGAAAAGTAGTGCCTGTCAGTATAAAATACTCTCTGTCCTATCGTACTCAAAAAATTGTCATTTCATTTAGAAATGACAATTAGTGCCTCGAATTTAGAGATACTATGCGACACGAGATTCGAAACGATCAACGGCTGTCCGATAATGATAGATTAACGTCAATCATAATGATCGTAACGTCAGCTCAATTTACCAATAACACTCGTCGGAGTAACGACCGATATGATGTTATATCGCGCAAAATTACACGGTCCAATCGCGCATCGATATCACTGCTAGATGCAAATAAACGATGTAGATGATTTTGATTGCAATATATAACGGAGTGAGTCGCATGGGCGTTCATACTGAAAATGTGCCGAATGGGATGGGGTGGTTAACATCTCAGCCAATCGAAATGTTTCCGGCAGTCACGTAAATGCCACATCTCTGCGTTTCACGTAACGTATGGAACCTCGTGCTCGTGCTTGCTCCAAGAGAGATCCCAAGATAAATTCCAAGATAAATTTTTCGGAGAGAAATAGACGGAGGGTCTCCGTGGGAATTTACCCTACTTTAGCGCAATCGAGTTTGCAACTATCATCTGTAGTTGGACACTCCATGTAAGACGAAGTGACGCACTTCGTACATTTTCTTCTTCACATTGTCGAAAATAATTTAATTTATTTAATATTTTGGAAAATATCTTTTTCACACGCACGCATATTATTGTATACATATGCGAGTATTCGCGATATTATGTAAACTTCACCGAATGCAAAGGAAATCTGTAAATTTTGATTATATCACATTGAATTCCATTTTGTTATATTACATTTTGTTATATTACATTGAATTCCATTTTGCCTACAAATATACTTTTTTTCTGTTATCTTTCCATTCACGTGAAATTTAGTAGTTAACGCAAACAAATTATTAAAAGAAAAAGAAATTAATTTCGATTTTCTTCTCTGGATATCAGAAATGCCCTAGTGGATTGCAAATATAACGTACTTTGCGATACGCTGCACGTATCTTTCGTAAATGGCAAAGTGCTTAAGATATTTTGTGAAAGACGCGCATTTGGTGAAAATGTATAAAAAGAATTATTGACCTTCGACAGGATCTTGAACTTTAACGAGCCACCTACGTCAGGTCACCGAAATATGACCTCTGCGACTCCGCCCGCGGTGAGAATGAAAAGCGGACGGAAGTTGTGTCACAGTTTGCATACGAATTATGATGTGATGCCTGGTGTGTTTATTATTAAGAAAACTTTTAAAATATATCACCAAGACTTACACAACTCTAGATTGCATTCTTCTCAGCGGGGATACTTGCGCGTAAAGAAGAAAACAAAAGAGAGACACTTTTTACTTCGTTAATTCTCTTCGACTTTTCTTCAAGAAATACGTTTTATGTCATCTCTAATAACACGAGTGAAGATAACACTGAGGAGAAAATTATTATAATTTAAAACAATATTATATATTTTTTAATTTATTTAATAAATAATTAATTTATTTTTTTCCCAGTGAAAATTATTTCTCAGTGTATAACATAAGACAAGGAAGAATTTTTTAAGTTTAAAAACTTTAACCTTTCCTAGTAAAGAGTTAAAAGAAACTGTAAAACAACTTTTCCCCAGTAAGAAAGCGCCGAAATGGGAAATTAAGGGTTTCAACATTTCTTCCGGT